GCAGCGTGATAGAATGCAGCCAGGACCTTTAGCGCACTGTCCATAAATTGGAAGTCCATAATCGATGACCGACAAAATCAAAGTTTTTGTTACGTTTATTAAAGTGTCTGGATGTACTCTGCTATTCTTACAATTTTACAATGTTAAGCCTAGTGTTTAGTTTTTTCTTAAGTGCTTACAATGCTGCTTAAAATTCAATGTTTTGTCAAAGATAACTCCGAGAATTTTTGAACAGTTAACGTTCTCTATTTTATGATTTCTATATAAGACGCCTAAAGAAGCACTATATGGATGTTACTAAGTAAATGGACGGGCGGACAAACGGATGCGCTTTGATTAAATTCTTTGTAGAAACAGAAAGTATTCCGACAGAAATTTTTAAAGAAGTAATAATTATAAGACCAACGAATGCCCTCCACCCGCCACACCAACACGAGAGGCGACATCCGCATAACGTACGGAATAAGCCGAGTCATTCTACAGCTAAAAAGTGAGTCTGAGGGATCGAAGCTGCGACATAATCGGCGAAAGGGTTCGTTCAATTCACAATGTTTTTTACATAAAAGGCTTTAAGCTGCTTAGATACACGAGTTGAAACATTAACGTTTACCTCAGATAACAGCCATGAACTACAAATTGATCCCTTAAGAAGTTTCACTACGAAAAATGCGTCTAACATTTCTCTACGACTTGCGAGAGTAGGTAGATTTGGAAGCTTTAAACGGTTGGTATAGAGAGGAAGATTTATCGCAGATGTCATCGGTTCTTCAGGAAAAAATTGGTATGGGTTGTTTCAACAAGGAAGAGAGACCTGTGAAGTGACCCTCGCCCGGGGCGCTCAGTGACGGTTGTGGCCGAAGAAAATGTTCTGAAAGTCGGAAAATGAGTACAGGCTGATCGACAAATTAAATGGTGGCAGATAGCAGAAGAATTATAGAATAGCATGGAATGAGAAGGGGAGATTTTGCAGCAACAATTGAATATGAAAAAAAGTTAGTGCGCGTTAGGTACAGCGAATGCTCACACGGCTGGACAAGCAGCGACGATAGGAGGGTGGTAAAAATTTTTCTCGGGTTATGCTAAGATGATTTGAATAAAATCTGCAGTTGTATTGTAACAGTTGATAAAACTTGGATTCGTAAGTATGATCCCGAGCCCAAACAGGAATCGGGGAAAGCCCACCAAAAAAATTCAAACTGGAAGAGTCGGCGTCGAAGATTATGGGTACCACTTTCTGGTTTAGCGAGAGGATATTGATTACATGCCAAAGGGGACTACGATGAACGGTCAGTATTACGCTAATTTGTTGAGTCAGGCGCATGAAGCAGACGTACAGAAGAGACGTGGCAAATTAGCGTGCGGGGTGGTGCTCCTGCTAGACAACGCACCCGTTTCCAGCGCTCCGGTTGCGAGGGATGCCATAAAATAAATCGGTTATGCACTTTACAATCTGGACCTCTGGTTTCCAGTGACTTTTTGCTTTTTCAAATTTAAAAAAGGAGCTACGGGGACGAAGAGTTTCAGTCGACAGTGAGATGAAAGCGGCCGTAGAAAACCATTTTGAAGAGAAATCCGAAGAATATTCTTTCAGTGGTATAAATGCATTGTTTTCACGTTGTGAAAAGTGTATTTCACTTAAGGTAAAATATGAAAAATAAAAAACATAAATCTTTAAATTTGTTTCATTAAGTACTTTAGGCCGCGAACTTTTCAGCCGCCCTCGTATATATTTACACAAAAAATACATGCATTCAAAACAAAGTTTTAAAGCCGAAATCAATATGCTAGTCCTCCAATTTAAGTAATACTCTCGTCACCACCCCCACTCATTATTAATATTAATCTCTTCGATGTCAACAAAATTCATCCCCGTGGAAATGTAGAGTGTTTGCCGACTGACTGAGTGTTTTGTGTGTATAGGTGACGCTTTTATTTGAATAAGAACTTTTGCAAACACCGTTAGGGAACAGAACAATCCCAACGGCTGAAAAATTTTGCTATTTTTGTTTTATAGACATTAATGTCTGCTCAGTGAACTTCGCTCTCCTCAATCCATTCACTAATGAATTATCATTTTTTTTAAAGGTATTTCAAATTACAAGTCTTAATAGGGAAAATTAATGTTCATAAATATGTATGTATGTAAGAGAAATAATGATTTAAGTTCCCGATGATGAAATTTCTTAAACCACAATTTTGAATTTAATTAAGTTATTTTAGTGGCGTCCACAGCAATTGAGTTGCTGCCTGGCAGGGAACGTCAACCCCTACGCATATATTTAAGACATGAATTTAAAGCTTCTTTTAAAAATTTATCAGCCGTGTGAAAGCGGCTAAAATTAGATTGTAAGGGCATCTGATTTTGGGCGGAAATACACATTAGAAATTGAGCGAGGAACTCGGCGAACTCGAAATGAAGCGATAAGTGAGCCCTTTTATAGGGAAGACGAAAACCTCCAAATCCATCGGCCCCGACGGAAAAAGCAAGCTGATGCTAAAACATCTAGGATCAGCGGAAGTAGACTTTCTCACCAAAGTCCTCAATTTGTATCTCTGACCACCCTAAAGATACCCGACGTGTGAAAAATGGGTGGGGTAGTCCCGCTACTCAAACCGGATAAGCCAGCCAACGAAGGAGAGCCATACCAGCCATTAACTCTTCTCTCCTCAGTAGCAAAGACTCTTGAGGCCTTGCTGCTTCCGTCCTTCACACACCATCTGAGCAACACATCAGCATGGCTTCTGCAAATTGCACAGTACCACAACTACGCTTAGCGTCATACACACTCACACAGTCAATAGCCCCAACCAACACCAGCTCTGCGTGCAAACTGTCCTCACCCATGCGAGTTAATGGGTTAAAAAATTTACCCGCGGTAAGGCATGCCTGTCGTAAGAAGCGACTAAAATCCAATAGTTCCCGGAAGAGTCGGGTCTTTATACCGGAACGACCTGGATTTTGAGCCGGCCAAGGACTGTCACTCCCGCAACATTCCCCAAAAAGTACTTTGGTCAATATTTTTATGGTTACCACAACAACAACAACAACAACAACAACAGCAAGCATTGAAGAATCCTCATTACCACCGGGATTAGACAGGTTGACCAAAGGCTACTTGAGCGGTCGTCAATTATGGATAGAATTTTGAAGTTAAACGTTGAAACTCAGAAAGATTAAGCAAGGTGTACCGCAGAGTAATTTCCCCTCTCCACTGCCATATACCGATGATTGTTCGATATTGGCCTTCGGCCAGAAAATTCATGACTCATGTTCGAAAGTGAACAGCTATCTCAACCTTTCCCACAAGACAATTAAGACTACAACCAGGAAAATCATCAGCTACCCTCTTCGCCAGCTGGACGAAGGAGTACAGGATCGAACTCGATTGGAAATTCGATGGCGTAAAAATTCCGACTAAAACCAACCCAAATTTACTGAGTGTCACATTCTCTAGAGCTGCCAAAAAATCCTTGAAACGTTAGCCTGCAGCACTCTAGGAAAAGACAAAGAAACGTGGCTGACAGAATATAAATCATGCTGGACCGATCTGGTCGCCAGGGTCTAACGAGACACAGTTGAAGAAGTTGATTATAATCAGGCAAGAGCATCATCGCCAGAGCATCACTTACACAGCATCCTACGGTAGCATACCAACATACATTTACATTTATTAAATGTACACGGTTAACAACCGTGTGGACGGTCATAACAGAAAGGAAGTACTTGACCTAAAGGACAGCATTCAGCACCACCTACAAACAACCGCTGGACAGGAAGCCATACAGACTAGATTTATCACACCTGACCCTAAGCGGGGTTAACGAACCGCTACAACAACAGCAACAAGCCATAAAGACAGTCATTAAACGCCATCCACCGAGAGTCCTTAAAAATCTTTATAAATTCTCTTCCTGTGAATGGAGCTCGCGGAATCCAAGCACCACCTATTGCAAACGAAGAGCTCGAGAGTTCCTCATAATACTAGTACAGCTTACGTCTAAATATTGGAGTAGATGAAGCTTCATCGAGCTTTTCCAGACTTTACCTCGACATACCTAACGTATGTGTATGTACTGCGTGCAACTATGACAGGACCCAGGACACTAACCACCTCTGTGCATGTCCCCTAAAACCAACTCATTTAAACCCCCTCCCGTTCGTCCCTGTCGAAACAGCTCGTTTCCTGGACCTCCCATTAGATGAACTCGATGACTTAGTCTGATGTTGCCTGCCCGTAAGCGGGGTAGGTAAGCCGCTATAACAACATCAACAACAAAAATAATAACAAAAATAACAACAAAAATAATTACAAAAAAATTACCAAAAATATAACAAAAATTACAAACAAAAATAATAAAAACAAATATTAAATAAAAAAATTATAAAAAAAATATAAAAAAAATATAAAAAAATATAAAAAAAATATAAAAAAAAATATAAAAAAATATAAAAAAAATATAAAAAAAATATAAAAAAAAATATAAAAATATATAAAAAAATATAAAAGAAATATAAAAAAAATATAAAAAATATATAAAAAAAAATTTAAAAAAATAAGAAAAAATATAAAAAAAATATTAAATAATTAAAAAAAAATAATTAAATAAATTTAAAAAAAAAATAATTAAATAAATTTAAAAAAAAAATAATTAAAGAAATAGAAAAAAAAATTAAAATATTAAAAAAAAATAATTAAAAAATTAAAAAAAAAAATATAAAAAAAAATAATAATTAAAAATATAATAAAAATATTTAAAAAAGGAATAAAAATTAAATAATATAAAAATAATAATAATAAAAAATTACCAAAAAATTGGTCGACAAGTAATCAAACGATTGGCAACTACAAAAGGAAATAAGAATCTGAGCGCACCTTGGTATGATTTTCATTATTTTTTCATTTTAAAGTAGTGTAACAGACAAAATACATATTTAAATTTCAATCATACTTAAAAGAAACGAAGAAGAAGCTTGTGTTATATAATAAAAGAAAATGTAGTAGTTTCTATAATTAAATAACTATAACATATATTTCAGTTCTTACAATTTACTATACAAAAAATACATACATATGTATTGTATGTATATAAATATAACAACAAAACGTGGGTAAATAAACTATTATGTTTCTTCTGGTTCTTTGTGCTGATCATCCTTCTTATATTTGCGCATTTTCAAGTTAGTTTCCAACCATGATTTTACGAATTTATCGTATTCACGTTTGCTTCGGCAGACAATAACCAAACTGGAAGGACGACAGCCATAGGATTTTAATTCTTCTATACGCTGTTTCGTTGTTTCCAGACCATGGCATAAAATCCGAGGTACGTTTGCGATTTCGTGGCGTGTGAAACCAGCTTCGTTTAGCAAATAGTCAAGTACTTCTTTTACCTGCAAATATATTACATTACAAGTATAAAATATTATTTATACTGTTATTTTTATTTTACTTTTATTTTTTTTGAAACTTACCTTTGTTACGCGTACTCGCATAACTGCTGGATGTCTCTCCATTATACAACGCATACTTTCAATATCGAATTGCAAACGTTCAGCCACATATTCGACCACATTTTTTTTCTCACCCAAGACAGCGAGTTCGTCTAGCGTGAGTTTGAATGATCTATTATTATTTTGACCAATTACAAATCGTTAGAAAAATTTCCCAAATTAAAAGTTTAATATTTTTGACCGAAACTGAAAACTGAATTACTAAAGATAAAAAAATTATGACTTACCTTTGCAGTATAGGCTCGGGACAACGTACCATCCATGGCATAATTTTATCTTTTTTGGCACGTTTAGCGCGCTCCAAACGCAATTGCACAGATTTCGGCGTATATCGAAAAGCCCATAAATCTTTTAAAATATTTATCGGCGAAACATTGTAGTTTATCATATGTTGTAAATTTTGCTCCAGCATATCAAAAGGCATTTCCAAGATAAATAACCGTTTGGATAAATATTTTGTAACGATTTTTGGATCGACTTTCAGAAGTTCACTAATGTAGTAAATGCGGTTTCCTTGGGATAAAATTTTTGACTCCCGATTCATTATGGATACTAATTTACGTAACCGTGGAACAGACAAACGTAAAAAGGGAACAAAGTCGTTGATGTCGCGTAGTTGTAGTGTTTGGACTAAAGCGAGCTTATCCTGCAAACGCACTGAAATAAAAAGAGAATTAAAAAAAGTTAAATAATTTCTCATTGAAACATACTTTTTTCCAGCGTAATTAACCAAGGATAGTTAATGAAACTCTGTTTTGTGACACCTTCTAAGCTAAGCATGTCTAGTGTGCGGACAAGGGAACGTTGATGAAATGTTCGTTTTACCACTTCATCACTCATAATTCGATTAACGTCACTATCAGAAAGCCGGTAGCGTGTGCGCAAAACGTCAACTAGAATGTAACGACGCGGTGTCTCGTCTTCTGTAGAATATGGCACAACATAACTGGATGCATTTTCACGAGGACCAGATTGACCATCTGGGCCGACATATGCTGCATCAACATCTTGCTCTCCCTTCGTACAAACGTATCCTGATCCATCTTGCGCATTAGCCGGAGATGATGACAATCCACACACAGATAATACACCAAATTTGTGACATACTGATGTCAGAGCTGCTGATGCCGCGTATTTCGGAGCAGGAGTGTGAATTGTTATAATGCGATGGAAATTTCGCAGCACTTGGTAGAACATTTTCGACCTTCTTCACAATCGTTATGGTTGTTGAAAATATTTTAAGTGTGAATTTTGGTTTTTTAATCAATGCAATTGAAACAGCTGTGACTAGTCTTGCCAACTACCTGTGAGCATTTCACACACCGATTTCATTTATAAATAATTAATCGATAAAGAGGGTAAATCGATAAATCATACTAACTGTTGTAAGTTACATTGGAGTATGAATTGTTTTTGCTTTTCTTTAACTTACAGCTGATAACTGTTCCAACTGGTAAATACGGCGTTATTTAACAAAAAAATTAGTCCACCATTATTATTTTACTTTTAGTTGCTTAATAGAGAGTATTACATTTTGTTTCACTAGCAGTAACGAAAATTCCAAAAAAAAAAACCATGTCGTTCGCAACACCAACATATGAATTGTGTACATCGCGTTTTTGTAATATTTGTCTTTTTTTCGAAACGGAAAAGCGGAAGAAAGGTTTCAAACCAACAGAAACTCTTCCGGCTGAAAAACTTCAGTTTTGTGCCAATTGTAGATTGGTTGTGTATTGTAGTAAAGAGCATCAACGTTTTGACTGGCCAATACACCGCGAATTTTGCCGCACTGTGGCTAAAATTATGAAAGGTCTCGGTGTTAAACATCCTTTGCAAATTAGTGGCCAACCTTTTGACACGATCACCTTGGAACGTAACATAATCCAATTAAAGTATTTGCTGCGAGTAGCAATGAAGCGTCCACTTCAGAGTCATGAAGAAGAGCTTACTTCATTTCCTGCATATTGTGAAATTTGCTATAAATTCGACAAATTGCAAATTTGTAATGTATGTATGGCTGTTTCATATTGTTCACCGGAACATAAAGCACTAGATAAACAGCGTCACAACAATTTTTGTGCTAAACTCAAACTATATTACTGCCCCTACAAATGTCAACTGCAACTACCGATACAGACATTAATAGGAGACTTGGATAAGCCGGTACGAAATATGGTGGAAACAGATTTGTTGGGTGCCTTTCAAGAAATGACATCAAAGAACTTGCCTTTAGATCCGACGGCATCAATGGAAGCCTATCATCTATTTGCAGGAGTTTGTGATTTCAGTTGTGTTGGCACTATTTGCTTTGCATTACAATTTACTAAAATGAATGAATATACTCCAAAGAAATTTGTAATCTTCATCGTGGGTGCTACGACCGAGCAAGATATTTCGTTTAAACCAATTCACACAAAATGGTTTTTCTTACAATATCCACAAATTAAAAATTTGGAATTGTACTTTATTGGGCCGGAAGTAGTTGGCTCTGATAAAAACTTTTCTATTTCTTGTCAGGTAAATTAATACATTTGTATATACTACGCGATGCGTCAGTAAAACATTGTTGATTATTTCCAGAGTTTGTCGCATGGTGTAATATTTGAAAGGATTATATATTAATTGAAATATTAATTAATTAAATCTTTTACAGGGCGTTGAACGCACAGTTACGTGTAAAAGCTTCTGCATGCTATTTCAAGATTTTCTGAAAAAATATATTATACGACCACAATTAATTGTAGCTTTTAATTGTGGATTTTCTGCGAATGACGGAATAACAAAAGAAGGAAAAATAATGACAAACAAATTCGCGGGAGTACCCGGGGATGGCTTTCCGAAGATTGATCCATGGGTCGATGGCATCTCACAAATTATACATAGTTACGGTACACCAATCATATTCACTTCCTATACCCGATTGGAAGCAACTTTGGATTATGGCGCCTTGCTCAATATCGCTACTGCGGATTGCTTGACGACGAATGTTAAACGTTTGTTTGATATTAGGCATAATCCTTATCGTGATATCCGTCCATTCCGAAATTGGCAGGAAACTTTTGAGGATACCATTTTTTATCGAAATAACTATGTGCAAGCCGTTATAACACATGCTACAAGGAAGTGAAAACAAATAGTAATAAGCATAAAACTAATAATTTTTATATGTATGTATTTACTTTTACACAAACATTTTGTCTGTAAGCATTTACTTTTAACTTTTTATACAAATTTGACAAACTTTACATTTTTGATATAGTATGTGCGTAAGATATTTGCTAAATAAACATAAGTATAAACTGTTGTACATATAAAACTATATTCCAAATTAAACTAGGCATTTAAACTTAAAGACTGTGCATTTAGCTATACGCAATAATGTGAAGGTAGAATAAAAAATAATATAAATGTACATTTGTATATGTGAATAAAACTACTTTTTTTTATTAATTCTGACAGTTCTTTGGAAAACATCTATAGATTGCAGTTAGTATTTGTGTTGTCATTATTGTTGTAGTAGCAGTTCGCTAATCCCACTTAGGTACAGGTTTGACTAATCTAAGTCGGAGGTCCGGGTGTTTTTTAAGTCGAGTTCTCCCTTACTGATGTGCCTAGGTGGACGTTCAGCGTCTATTAAGTGCCTATTGGGGTGCTCCCTGCGGTAACATCCCAATAGGAACTGCTTGCACAGCAAAGGATTATGCTCCTTAACTCGTAGCATAGATGCTTCACTGTGCAAGTGATGCTCCGACAACATCAGGAGGTTTCCTGTCGCAGTCCTGAGGGTGGTGTTCTGGCAGGCCTGTAGCTTCATCATCTGCGCCTCGCTCGTTCCCGGCGCCCAAATCGGTGCAGCATAGCTTATGACCGGCCGGCCAATTGCTTTGTAAGTTGCCAGCAAAATTTCCTTGTCTTTACCAAGTAAGAGGTTTAAGGGGTTTTCGGCTAGATGAAAATTGATCTTTGACTACTCTAACAATATCTAACTCACCCATGGGAGCCGCTGCTTGAGTATCTCAACTACCACCTTACAAACCACACTCAGGAAAATTAAACTACAGGTTTAGCTGAGTGGCGTCTTCATACCGCTATCGCTAAATTTTCACATTTTTGTTGTTGTTGTTATTCTAACCGCAAATTTATTCCCCAAAGTACTTTTGTACTTGGCCGGATAAAAATCCGGGTCGTTCCGGTATAAAAACCCGACTGCCGCTGGAACTATTGGATTTTAGTCGCCTCTTACGACAGGCATGCCTTACCGCGGGTAAATTCTTGAGCCCCTAACTCGCAGGAGGTTTCACATTTTGTCTTATACGCCTATGATTTCTATATATTAGTGTCTGAACAAGCCGTTGATAACCTTTCTTCATCCCCACTTGTTCACTGCACAGTACTTACAACCACAACTAGTGAATTCCTCGGCTACCCTCTCCACCAGCTGGACGAAGGAGTACCGACACGAGCTAAATACGAAAGTCGATAACGTTCCTGGTAGCCACTTTCGACACTTTATGCCTGTACGACGCATACGATTGCCCTTGCCATCAAAGTACATAGCCGCAAAAAATCCACAGGTAGTAGCTAGTATGTCCTGAATGTAATGAATTCCCCTACGACACCAACTTTCTCTTAATATGTCATCTAAAAACAACTCATCTAGCACCAATTTCCCTCTGAACGGAACAAATCGAAAGAGCTCGTTTCCTTTATCTCGCGATAAATGAAACTACTCCATACCGATTTGAACAGTGGCGGGTAGTGGGATGCCGATGAAGATGCCACAACCCTCCCGGTATACCTCCTGAAGAACCATAATAAAAACTCTCCTGCTGTTACCTGCACTTCATTTGTACAACACTTAAAGCTGAACCCATCCTCAAGCACAGCAGAAAAGACTACTCAAATTTACAGACTCCATTCAGCACCATAACATTGGACGGAGAGTTACCGACATGCTCCAAAGGTTACCCACAGAGAGTCTGTCAAAGCCTTCATTAACTCTCATCTTATGTATATCATAATCAGAAGCCAACCACTACCAACGGGAGACCAACAACCCGAGCTAGCCCGGAAGACAAAGATATACTAACAACAACAACAGATAAAGTATTATACAAAAATTGCAGGCATATTTTATTTAACCTACTCTTCCTTTATTGTCTTAAAATCGTTTATTGATTTTTTAATTCCACAAACAATTTTGCATCGCTCGAGTGCATCGCCTTTACACGTTTATTTCCTTAAGTGTACGTCGCACCCATGGACCGCCTTCCTTTGCCAGGGTAGCAACAAAACGCACATTGCCTTGATAACCAGCAGGTATCCAAGAGAAGTCAACACTCTTGAGCGGTCTTTCCTGCTGAGCTTCCGTATGCAGGATTGTATCCTGTAGGTTGAGAAAGCATAATGCTTTATAGATAATATTTTCAAAATACTCATGCTAATCACATAGGTTGGTACCCACATCCGAATTCCTGCAAGTCGTTGTTCTTGACTTATACCCATCAACAATTTGAAATTTACCAACAGGCGCACCATTGGGATCTTGTGCTTGAATCGCAAAACCAGAAAAAGCCCCATGTCCGCCGCTTAAACGTAGCTGAAATTTTTCCTGACTTGTATTGCTAGGCTCATCGACGGTGGCAGCTTTCGGGAGTGTTTCCGTTGCAGGACTTTCGTAGTGTTCCACATTTCCATGACTGCAAAAGTCCTCTGGAAAAGTAGTCGAGGATAAAGAGTGAATGGGTGCAGCTAGGCAGAACGCGATCACGAGTAGACGAAGCATTTTTTTGGCAATTAATTGACTTAGATTGAATTTTGAGGCAAAATATAAAAAGAAAAAATGGAAAACTGTTATTTTTGAAATTTTGAATGAAATGAAAAATTTTCCTATTTATTTAATTTACTCGATATATGTATGTATGTATGTATGTATGTATGTATCTATAAACATTTTGCTGTTTGCTATAAAATGGAATGTATTGTATAAATAGAATAATTTCAGTGCCTAAAAGTTATTTTCAGAAAAGTTCTTAAACATTTCTAGAAGCTGCTTGAGCATGGTTGTCCGAAAAAGAAATAGGAGTGAGGTGTTGTATGGGAAGGCTTAAGACCTGAGACCCAGCTTAGCGTTCTATGGATCTTACCTGGGAGGGCAAACCTTAAAAACGACAGACGAGGCAGCTCGAGCTCTCCGTATGAGAAATGCAAAGTTTTGAGAGAAAGAGATATCACTGGAAGGTATTGGCTGCTTTTCTGTTGATAGCTAGTTCTGATGCGGTTATCTACTGTCTTTATTATTATGTTTCCCTTCACTGCCGCTCTTCTTTCTGAGCACACATATATCAAAGTCAGACAAATCTAACGTTAGTCGAGCGCTACCGAGCTTGCAGTAGGGCCCAACTATATTCAAAAATGGTGCAAATATTTCTTCTCGAAAATTCCTGCCATTCGAACTGTTCCGAGTGACTCGAGAATAAAATCTACTGAAACGATTTTCGGCCAACAGCTGCTCCCCGTTTTGCGGAGTACATTTTAATATTTTTAATACAGTTAAATGCCGTCTTTTGACTTTCATGAGCACCCTGGAGGAAAAAATTCTAGTTGTTAACTAGAATCGAACTAGTTTACATTTTTACAGCAACAAGTTCATCTTACATCTGTTTTCCATGTAAGCAACTGGTACTACTTCACATTAGACCAGTCTGCATCGTACTAGTCAAAAACCAATTCGATTAAATGAGGTATTCTAAACGGTTGAACCGAGTTTAATAAAAGCGTTTCAGGTAGATTTAAGAATGGTGTTGAAAACCTCCATCCACCGGAAGTTGACTAAGGACCAACTTATTTGAAAAACCGCATTTATTGGTCACTTTATTTGAAATTTGGAACATTATTTCTTTCCAAGAAGTGGATCAGTTATCTATCTATGATTTGAAGCTTAATTAGAAATGTTCATTATTTTTTACAATTCAGCAAAATATAAAAAACTCATCATAATGTAATTGTTGTTGTTGTAGCGGCAAGTCTAATAATGTGTAATCGGAGNGGAGTCAAATATAATCATTTACATTCAAACTTCATAGACTCCGCTTAATCGATTATAGCCGAGTTAACAACAGCACACCAGTCGTTTCGTGTTGTCGCTGTTTGGTGCCCATCGGAGATACCAAGTGAAGTCAAATCCCTTTCAATCTTATCTTTCCAATAGAATGGAGACCTTCCTCTTTCTTTGTTTGCACCGGCATGTACTGCATATACAATAATACCCTCAAAGAAGGAGTGCTTCCATACAATCGGCCGATATGACCGAGGCAGCGTAACCACTGCCTCTTTATCAATTGAACTATGTCAATGTCGGCCGTGGTAGCCGAGTGGTTAGCATTGCGTACTGCCATTCGAAAGGCTCGGGTTCAAATCCCCGTGCAACCAACATCTAAAAGTTATAGACAATTAAGTTAAATTTTCTAATTGCGGTCACCCTCGGCAGGGAATGTGAACCCCTCCGAGTGTATTTCTGACATGAAATAAAAGGTTTTTCATAAAAAAAAAAAACAGCCGTTCGGAGGCAGCTTAGTATAAACTGTAGATCCCATCCCTCCATTTGTTGAAGAACATCTAGGATCGATCATCTTATTTTGGGCCCATTCAACGAACGTGCGATGGTCATTTGCTTTAATTCGAACACTAGTTGGACTTTGCAAGACCGCAAACCAAAATTCTTCTACAAAATCTTCCACAAAGTGAATTGAGGCCCTGACTTACCCACTCTACTTGCGATTATGTCTACCGAATATTGAGCGCTGCACTGCCGAAGCGAATCATTATTTTGGTAATAAATTTGCATGATTTGCAACGTTGTTCCAGTGTCGGCGTCTTCATTAAGAGGTGGTCAACCAAACTGAGTAAAAATCAAGTAAGAGCGGGCAAAAAGACCAACTCTCTCTACAAACTGGAGTTGACCCGGATTTTATCCTGTCTCCTTTCGGCGATCTAGCCCCGTTTAGGTCAACTAACTTCGTTGGAAAATACTCGTCTCACAAATAAAAAAAAACACCCTTTACAAACACAAAATGTGTCTACTCACGCGAGGTTCACTTTCAACAAACCAAGTTAATTTGTAACCAAGGCTTACATATACATATTATTATATTTATAATGAGCACATACATAATTCCTTCTATCACATAAAAATACTTTTCAGTTTTATTTCACTCCGTCCTATTTAATATAATAGTAAAAAAATAATAATTTTGAAATAAAAATGATCTTCGCATTCGTGGAATTCTCCCAAGGGAGTCAAATATAATCATTTACATTCAAACTTCAACTTCCTTGAGCACCTTACGGATCCAGTAGGTGCCACCATCCTGAGCGACAGTAGCAGTAAATTTGACTTTGCCCTTATAACCGGCTGGCTCCCAATCGAAAGCTACACTCTTGATAGGATTATCGTGTGGAATCTTCTTGTGGGTGAGAGTATCCTATTATAAGAGATGAATAAATATATTTCATGAGACTTACAATTACAATAAACAATTCACATTTCAACTCACATCAGCATTACTGCATGTCAAAGTTTGTGATTTAGCGCCATCGACAATTTTAAATTTACCCACAGGCCTATCGTTGGCATCGCGTGCCTGCACAGCGAAACCCAAAAATCCATTCGAACCGCCGAGCGTAAGCGATACCTTACCATTCTCTGCTTTACTAACACCCGAAAAACTATATGGAACGGGTGTCTTCTGACCATCGACACCATGTTCGGGTGTCAAGCCGTTGGTGCAAACATTGGTTGGAGCACCAGCTGAGTAGCTGTAGACGGGCGCGGCCAAACAGGCGGTTAGCAAAAGTAAGCGGAACATGTTGACTGCTCTGTAACGGGAAATCAAAGTGAAAAATTAGTGAAAATTAATTAGTTAATTTTTTTTAATGCTTTCGATTATATAGCTGATTTGAAGAATATTTGCCGTGACGGAATAAAGCGGATTGGAAGAAAAAAAAAAACTAAGAAATGAGAAATATTTATGATGTTTAATGTTTGAACCTGCTTTTCTCAGACTTTTATTTATCCCATAGTTTTCTTCATTCCATTCTTACATACATACAAACATACATATGTATATATAAATCAATTTGTCATTAATTTTTGCTGCTGCCTGCTCACAGCCTTTATGTATTCACCAATAAATATTTTATCATGGTCCACGAGTAGACAAAGTAAACGTCAATTAGTGTCAGTAATTAAATCGCGCTATTCACATCAAATGTATGCAAAAAAAAAAATAAAAAATAAATCAAATAAAAACATTAAAATCTACAAAACAAAAAATGTTAAATCATGTACTTGATATGTAAATATATGCATCACGTTTTCTCCGCAACAAAGCATTCTCTAATGGTAAGAACCGTAAGATGTATACCCGTAGGAAATTAACAAGACAATTCTAATCAGAAACAAGTAAGGAAGACTAAGTGCGAATAGATTAAAATATTATATATAATATATATAGTTGGAGCTTTGTAACCGCTTAAGCGATTTTCGACCGAGCTCCTCCTCCAATTTTTGGTTTTGCGTCTTGCTGTTTTTCCAACAAATGGAAGGACCTGCAGTTTATACTAAGCCGCCTCCGAACTGTTTTTTTTTTTTTTGAGAGGCTTGATTTCATGTCAGAATTGCACTCGGAGGGGTGGACATTCCCTGCCGAGGTGCGAACGCAATTAGAAAATTTAACTTAATTTTTTATTTAAATTAATTTTCTATAAGTTTTTGGCTGTTAGTACGACATCAGGATTTGAACCCGGGAATTCCGAATGGCAATACGAAATACTAACCACTCGGCTACCGCGTTCGCTGGTATATTATATGCTCCGCTAATATTTACAGGGTACACCATCTGCTGCGATAGCTTTCGAAACTTCAATTACTTTTGAACCAGAAATGGACGTTTCCGCGTTGCCGGCTTCGTTCTCGAAAACATGCGGTTAGATAATATTTTGACCGATACGCCGCACCAAACGGTCACTTTTTGCACATGGAGAGGTTCATTGAATATCTCAAAAGGATTTCTGGTGGCCTAAATGTGATGGTTTTGCTTATTAACCGCGCCATAAAAATGTGAAATGTTAACTGCACCGCTCATGATGATTTTGAACCAAAACTCACCATCACCATTCCGGTCTAAGTATCGGTATTAATTGTTTCAGCCACAATATATACTGAAATGACGCGTCGAACAAGATATTAAAAACTAGAGTCAATACAACAAAAAAAAGCGGAACTATTCAAGTTTCAAATTGTATCGCAGCACGATCGGTCAAGAATAGAATAGAATAGAATCAATAATTTTTCTTAGGACTTTAGACCCTGTCACATTTTGTTCAGCTCGGTCGATTTCATCCATACCTATTCCATATATAAACAACAAATGGAGGGACCAGCTATACTACCTCAGAAAGGCAGACAGATGATCGTTAGAACCTGTTATTTAATATTAATCGATATTCCCCGACGAAGGGCGATCGCTGTTGGAAACATATTTTGTTATATTTAAATAGATTTTTATAAGTTCGTATATCGAAACACAGTTTATATCAAGCCGCCCCCTAACTGCCGATGGATTCTTATGAAGATCTTTTCATTTTCATGTCAGATATACACTCAAAGGGCTTGATATTCCCGCAATTAAAAAACTTAGCATGATGTACTTGATATGTAAATATATGCATCACGTTTTCTTCACAACAAAGCATTCTCTAATGGTAAGAACCGTAAGATGTATACCCGTAGGAAATTAACAAGACAATTCTAATCAGAAACAAGTAAGGAAGACTAAGTGCGAATAGATTAAAATATTATATATAATATATATAGTTGGAGCTTTGTAACCGCTTAAGCGATTTTCGACCGAGCTCCTCCTCCAATTTTTGGTTTTGCGTCTTGCTGTTTTTCCAACAAATGGAAGGACCTGCAGTTTATACTAAGCCGCCTCCGAACTGTT